AAAAAAAAAAAATATTCCTTAAATTATTTTTAATTATTAAATTATTTTAGCTATGGCTATATGAAATTATTTGGTGAAAATCCGATGTAAAAAAAAATATTACTTTAAGAGATGTTATGAAATGTAAAATAGCTGTGTGACGTCATTTGGGCCTACTCATCGTAATTGCCTATCTTTACGTGTAAAAGTTTCTCGCTTCTCACAACGATTAACCCACCTAAACATTTTATTTTTGTAATTTAATTTATGTATAATTGTGTGGTTTTATGTGTTTAAGACGACGCAAGAATTTTTAGAGTATTTCTATTCATAATGAATCATATTTCTAACAAGCAGCAATTCCATATTAGTATTCTGTATGACCTATTAAAATTTGAACAGTAATTGTAAAAGTATTTGATTAGATAATTAGAACATAAAATACTGGTAAAAATAGTACTTGTATGTTATATTTGTTAAAATAGTATTTAAAATATTGTCCTAGGTTGTACTATATGCGGAATTCGTAAGACATATTGTTTGTGTTGATTATAATGACTTTAATTATATTATACCATCATCTACCATTATTGGAGCACTTTACTATTTTTCTTTGGAATATTATTGTAAGTAATACTAATTATATATTGGGCACATCCAATTTTTTTCTTATAAATAATTACAGTGATATATTTATAGATTAGGACATTTTATGTCTTAATATATTAATATTAAGGAATATTATTATATTATTGATTATTATTAGTTGGATAAAATAATTAAGCTTCTGGTTGTGTACATTTGTGCTCTATATTGTAAATTATAAATTGTTGTGATGCTTGTCTTTGTGTTATTATAAGAAAACAATGTAGTTAGATATTAGATAAATAAAATTATACTTAGTGGAATTATAATTTTTTTATGAATATTTGTAATGTTTTAATTACATAATATTTCAAATGAACTTAATGCTGAGTCAGATAATATTATTGATGTTTTTTGTGGATTAACCAAAGAATCTTCTGAAAACAGTGAAAATCAAACTTCCAATGTAAGTATGTCCATCAATATAATTTTACTTGATACATTTTATGGTGGTAGTTCAATATGTTATATAGTATCTTCCATATTTTTTTTTAGTTCAATAACTACTGTTATGAATTTATGATATAATCTACATTCTATCTGGTATTATTTTTTATAAATATCATAAGATGATATTTTATGGGAGTGTAATCAATTAGTTGACTTAAATATTTACATAAATATTTCTGAAAAATTACCAAATTTTCTTCATAATATTTCTAATTCATCATCTGAAGAAGATACTAGTTCTTATGAATCTAACAATGATGAAACTGGTAGTACTATTACAATGAAATCAAGAAAACTATTATATTTGTATACATTTTTTTCACTTAAAGGATTAAAAACAGTTTTTCCTAATTTATTTAATGTACTTAAAATTGGTTTAACATTGCCAATTTCCAGTGCTTCGCCTGAAAGATCGTTTTCTAAACTTTAATTAGTTAAAAACAGACTTCAGTCAACTATGGTTCAAAGTAGACTTGAAGATTTAATGATCATATCGTATAAACCTGATATAATTATAAAAACTGAAGCAGTTGTGAATAATTTTGCCAGAAGATCATCTACATTATCTAAAGCTCTAATATTTTAAGTATATTATTTTATGTCTAAAATGAAATAAGATAGTATTATTAAATTACCTAAAAGAATTATGTGATGTTTAAATTGTTTATTATTATAAATAGGTAATACATTTAAGTATATTTTTTTTACTTAAAAATAATTTATCATATTTACTTAGTTATATTAATTACAGTAATCAATAATAATTTAGGTGTTATTTATGTTAAAAATTTAAATTTTAAAATGATAAAAAGTTAACAAAACTTATTTGTAGACTTGTATTTTTCATGTAGTACTAGTAAAGAGGAGGAAGGGGTAGCAAAGACACTAAAAAACATTTTTATGAAGTAAATTGGAGGGTGGTGGTGGTGGTGATAAATTTTGAGGTCTATGACAGATCATTTTAATATAAGTTCGGCGCTACTGTGTGAGTAGAAAAGTAAAACCTATACCATTATTCTTAGAATTGAACATTCTTTCAAATGAAAAAACATATTTTTTGTGTTATGTGCTCCTTTAACAAACCGACAGATTTATCGATAATGGCAATTTAATATTATGTTCTTTTTCTATTAATCACTTTAAATTTATTATAAAATATATGGCTATAGCATATACATAAAAATACGATAAGTATTATAGTCAAAGATATAATGTGTTTGTGGTTCCATACAAGGGCGTATTCGAGTTGGGGCCATGGGGGTGGGCGAAACTAATCTTTTTTCATTAAAAACTTAAAAATAATTTACAGTTCATTACCTACAGCTCATGTTCCTGTTATAATGATAACATATTATAATTAACTAGTAATTTATATTTTTAATTATTTATATATCACATTTTTTAAATAAATCAATGTATTATATTCATAAAAAATACGAGCCTTGGGGGCGGATGCCCCCTTCGCCCCCTCAAATACGCCTTTAGTTCCATGGTCTATAAATACACAGCTAATAGTCTAAATATTTTATTATCGAGGACAAATATCAATGTATCGATATACCGTCACCTAAAATACTAATGTAAAAATTTATATTTTTTTTTTCATAAAAATAATTTTTTTATAAAACCTACGTATTTTTAATCGACAAACCAGAAATCTTCGGAATTCCTTGAAAAATGAAAATTCTTAAATCTGGCAACACTGCTGAATGCCAATACGTTCAGTCGATCGCTGCCCGGTCGGCCGTATTTCTAAAAATCCGAAAATAGTTTTCGCTATCGGGAGAACTACAATGAAAACAATACAAACACGCTATAAATAATTTTGCCGCCACAATATTATAAACGTAATTTGAAATCTAAACCATTAGTTATTTGCTATCGTATTTATCATATTAATCATATCTAATATTATACATTTTGTCTGTTGTGACCTTTAACCCGAAGATTGTATAACATATAAGATAACTACGGACTACAAGTTATAGTTCGTAATAATAACTATCGTTTTATGGAAGTACTTGTCATGATAGTGATTAGTGCAAGGGTGTATTTGAGGGGGGCGAAGGGGGCATTTGCATAGGCGCAACTAAAGTCCAAATATTGGGGATGCTGAAATTACATAGCTCGCACTAACCCGTGGTGGGCTACGCCAACATTCCCTTCCTCCAAGTACCTTATCTCAATTTAATCATTAAATGTATCATAACAACACACATACACTAATATTTTAATTTACAAAGCATAAATTGGAACATAACTATTTATTTTATCATATTATTTTATTTAGGTCATACAGCACTTAGAAATATACAAATTAATATATATATATATATATATATTATATTTTTATCTGAGTTTTTTTAATTTAAAATATTGTTGAAAAATGCCTAGCTGTTTTATTTGTGGCAGAAAAAGAACTGCGAGACCAAATTTGAAAACATCAGTTTTCACAGGTAAGTTGTATTATGAAGCAATATTAGAATTAATAATTTTATAATACTACAGTTTATAATATTGACCATATTTAATGTTCCAGATTTCCTTCTAATAAATGCTTTCTGCAGAAGTAACATGATTTTAAACTAAGTAATGATTTAGCAGTGGACAAAATCAATAAGAGTAGTCTTATTTGTTGTATTCATTTTGTACTCAAGTCATTTATTGTACAGAATAAACTCAGAATTCTACAAAAACATTCTTTACCAACAATAAAAATATCAAGAGTAAAATTGGTAAAATTTAAATACTTTTTATTAATATATTAAAAAATAGTTATAATATGTGATGTATAAGTTTCATGTATTGAAATTATAGGCAAAGACTGAGTATACCGAATTAAAATAAAAACTACCCATAGTAGAACATAGCAGCAGTATCTTTAAACTTAATATGGAAAAGATTTTAGTTCGAGTAATTTAATTTAATGTACAAGTTAAACATGTAGGTATATAATAAAAGTATTGTTTATTAGACATCTTATAGTTATGAGTGTTATGACCCTTCTCAAAGTTTTGCACCAACAATTAATCTTGATTTAGCAGCTGGTACATCAAAAATCTTAAGTCTATGTGCACTTACTGTTAAAGTAAGGAATAACATAGTAATTGCCTTTTCTATATTCATTATTAATGTGAGTATATGCATTTATTTCTTAGAAGCCTAATATTAATGAGCTACCTGAAAGGATTGTACCATTGGCAAATTTGGATCAAACTATGGATTGTACATCATCAGGATCAAAAACCTTAAGTCTATGTATACCTACTGTTAAAGTAAGGAATACATAATAATTTCTTTTTCTATATTCATTATTAATGTAAATATGTGTTTTTATTTCTTAGATGCCTAATATTAGTGAGCTACCTGAAGGAACTGTACCATTGGCGAACTTGGATCAAACTATGGATTGTACATCATCAGGATAAGAAATCTTAAGTCTGTGTACGCCTACAGTTAAAATAAGTAATAACTTATTCTATAACTTTTGTATAGTAATTTACTATTCACATTGATATTCAGCATTTACATTATTATTTATGATTTTTTTAGACAAAATTCAAATCTTCTTTTTTTGTTGCTTCTTATATATCTCCTAATGACACACCAAGACGTGCATATCTAAAATATGGAATTCGTACTCTATCAAATCAAATGCAGATGAAAAACAAAAAAATTAGAGGCATACAACAAATTGTTCGAAGTAAAAATAAACAAATTGCCTCTTTGTCTGAAATTATTTGTAAACTGAAAAATAATAATCTTTTAACTGAAAAGGATAATAATATTCTTTTGGAATCATTCGGTAAACATACTGATTTAATTACTAAATAAAAATAAAAAATAAAAATTTGAGGAAAAAGGTGCCGAAAAAATGTAGTCCATCTATTAGGCAATTTGCACTATCTTTACATTTTTTTTTCTTCTAAAGCTTAGAATTAAAGTATGACGATGATATGTTAATAAATTACTGCATTCAGGTGTGTTTAGTGAAACCATTCTCGTCTTCATGTCTATCATACTTGGCCTAAAGCTTGCAGAAACATTTGTAGTAATCCCATAGGTATTACCAACACTCCGACCTCCACTTCCGTCGCAGGAATGCTTGAAGTTGAGGGCTGCGGCTGCTGCTGCTTCGTCTGCTTCTGAAGGGCGCAGTCCTTCACCAGGTGATCTTCCTTGCTACACCTGTGGCAGCGGCGGGGCTTGGCCTCGTCCCGGCACTCGGCAGCTAGGTGTCCCTTTGCTTGGCAGCGGAAGCAGGTCGGTTGGTTGTTAGCCAACAGCTTGACCCTGCACCTGGTCCACTCCACGGTAACCGCCTTCTTCTTGGCCAGCGTGATGGCGTCCCTGAGCGGTAAGTGGAGGCTCGCAACAAACTCCCCTCTACCCCCGGAGTTCTTGCGGAAAGTCACGTTCTCGGAGGTGACTCCGATGACTCACGCTTGCATGACGCCGGCAATTACGCTCTCCGCGTCCGCCCATTCCGGGACTCCCAGCAGTAGAACGGGCGTACGGGGCTCGAGTAACCTAATCTTGGCCGCATCAGAATAACCTTGTCCACTTTTGCGCATTACGATGAGCCACCGGCAGTCGTCCGATCCCCCGGCGAGATTCAGGTGGTTTGTGATTGGTCGTTAATTGTCGACTGCTGCCGTCACCTGTCGTTATCGAAAGCCGCCGCCGTGTATACAGACGATCATAATTACACGACCGTAATAATTATTACCTATAATGTTAAGTTATAACAAAAAACTTATAACTTATAGTTTTTTTTCTTTAATGTTTCTTGTACCTTATTTTTACCTTATTGTTCTGCACCATACACAATTCCTACGTTGTGTACAATTATTATTAAAACCAAATAAGTATCAATAAATGCAATTTAATAGGAAATTAAAACAAAAAAATGAATACAAATTTCATATTTACAAAAATTACTCATATATTTAAACAGATCTTTACAAAAATTAAGGTCATATTTACAAAAATTTATGTCATTATTAATCACTATCTGAATCCGTTTCAGATGATGTGTCTCCAGTTAAAGTCATCAATAAATTATCCGATTTCTCCGCGGACAAGACCTCGTCTATAATATTGTCGACTTCATAAAATTGTTTTTCTAATTTGTTAGTGTGGCTTATAAAATTTTGCCACATTTCTGCGTCGACTCGTTTTATGCCCTCTATCAGTAATTTTTTTACATCAGGAAGCTTGTATGTTGTGTTATTCATCCGGACGTGGTTCTTTACTGATGACCAAGCCAGCTCTATGGGGTTAAGCTCACAGTGGTATGGCGGGAGTCGTAATATAGTATGATTATTGGCTTTTACCAGTTCATCAATAACATACTTTTTTATGTAGTGGCTTCAAACGTTTGACCCTAAGTAGAAGATGAGTGATAACCATTGAGTGATTTATCACTTCTCCTTTATCTTCCAACCATTTGATAATATCCGCCTTTAGGGTATGGGATGATGGGGCTTTGTCGATTATGACGGAATGGTAGGACGCATTGTCCATAACAATTACGGAATTGGGTTTTAATAGAGGTAGAATGCCCTCCATCCACTCACGAAATGTGTCCCCATTCATTTCGTTATGGTAATCACTTGTGTTTTTTTTTGATTCGAAACACAATAAACCTCCGAGAGAAAACCATCTTCTGAGACGATATGGAGTACAATGAGACGTTTGCCCTTACCCGAGGGATTAACAGCACCTGTCGATAGACCTTTTAGAAATGCGTCCCGGTGAGATCCTACTGTTGTGTCGACCCATGTTTTCGATGTACAACAGTAGTATCATTTTGGCGGTTCAGAAACCACTGGTGCCGAACCTGCCGACCATGCCGACCACCACCGCCGCCGCCGCCTCCCACCACCACCACTAACCCCCTCTCAGTTATCACATA